ACATCTGAAGTACTTGCATCATAGAGGCTGGAATGTCCTGAAGATGAAGGATTCATATTTTTCATGACATCGTCCAGGTGGCGTGACATTCATTGTTGCTTAGCAATCGAGCGTTGGTTAAATATTCAGTTCTACATTAAGAAATGTATTTATTAAATTGGGAACATTGTGCTTCTAAAATGACGTCAGGGTGCCAAATTCCCCAATAAACCAGTAGTTCATAATCCAGCACACCTTCTGACGGTGTACCAAAAGTGCAAACCTAATACACTCTGTAACATCTATGCCGGTATCGATCGACTTAAGAGATCAATGAAAGTATGTTACCGTAGACTCGTAGCATCGTACACGAAAAAACAAACTTACCGTCGATGAATTCAGGCTCCAAAGCCAAGGAAGTCAACCTTTATATTCCTATTATAGACATTACGCGTGAGTCGTGGCATCTCCCGGGTAACCATGTCGCGCTTATTTATCGATCATTCAACGTTCGTTATCGCAGTCAGAAAGCTGCTAATTGGCTCGAGGTGGCGCTGGCCATGCTAGCAATCGCCTGATTGATGACATTTGACACGATAATCAATATGGTCTTTTGAAACACCGCATCTACGAGAGCAAAATATAATCTAAAGGACAGCGTAGAAGGTGCGCATTTTGACAATCGACAAAGATCCTGTTCACTGGTGCGTGTTATGTTTATTGGAAGAAGGACATTTTGCCGAAATCCACGGCGGATGAATTGTCACTAAGTCACTGTCCATATTGAGTCCTGTAAATCCTTGAAAATACCATTGGAAAGTGCTTTTGCGAACGGAGGATCGTAACTCATGGCGATACTGGCTTAAGGAAGGACGCTTCCACATGACGACGCACGGAAATTAAACAGATACCAACCTTCGCATCATTTCGACAGTCAAAAATTAGAAATTTGCATGCTGGATCTGTCAAAACCAGCATACTTGTGTCGTCATCGGTCCTAATGGAGGATGGAGTGCGATAAGGAGCTTGATATCAGACAATTTATTGATTCATAGTTTAAATTGCAAAATACTAATGAATATAATTCATGCTTCAATCTCGTTGCAGCATGAGAAGTCACCCCTGCGATGGTTTAGGCACGTGTTCCGAACGCCATCAAACAGGAAGTCGAAGCAACCACAACTTGCCAAACCGACTGAGTGAAAACCCCGGGGACGGCCAAGATCAACCTGGGGGCAACTGTATTGAATGACTCTGCTCGAGACTCCGGCTATCTTCCGCCGAAGGTCAGATGGTAACACAGAATCGAGAACGTCGGAAGCACTATCTGGCGCGTCTGCACATGCAATCCGAAAGGACAAGTGGTCATGGGAACTGATTGATTAATGGATTGATCTCATTCAACCGTTTCATTCTTAATGCAATCAAATTAATCATCGCCGGAAAGATGAACGAATCAGGTTTAATGAATTGAAGCTACATCGATCGGATTTAATTCAGCGGGCATGACCGCGACTATGTGCATTAAGTAATGAATGACATTGTTAAGCAAACTGCATACGACTCAGCAAGATGTTGAATATGTACAGGCATTACAAGTGTCATTTATGTGGCTTGTCTAAACGATCCCCCTCGCTCATAACAAAGAGACAGTGAGATCGTTAATAAATCCTTTGATAATGATCGTAGTACATACTATAGCAGGTAATGTCTCGTTGAAGAACTTACAAACGGTAAAAAGCACTCATTGCACAAAATATCGTACATCTTCATCTTCCATCGCCACTTCTCCATTCTGTTCGAGGAGGCAGACACGTCAGATAGAGCTTCCAACGTTCCCCATCCTGTACCAGAGTCTGAGCTTCGGCAAAGGACAAATGCAGTCAAG